AATTTTCTGAGTAATTGTGAATGCTTTTCTGACGTTGTTATATTATTATCGTTTGATCAATATATCAATATTTGAGCGTGGAACCACCACTCTTACGGTTCTGAAGACTGTAATTAAGCAGATTGATATTACTTTCTTTATTGTAAGCGATATCGCGTTATAGTAGTAACTGTGTTCGTGTTCTATAAATGCTAGAGCACATTCTGGTGAGTTACCTTTACCAGCATATTGGTCGCCTGACAGAGCAGTCAGACAGTTCTTGGTATTGACGGAGAGCGCCCCCATTGGTCAGTTCTCATTTGACTGGTCTTTCGTTTTTTTGATAATTACACGGAAGTGCTTTTTCAAGGTCATACATTTGTATTTCCTACAGTTGTTGAGCTTTTCCAATACCCATTGTAATAGTGCATTGTGGGTAGCATTGTACTGTTTGCCGTTAGCGGTCTGTTGATTAAATGTTGTTCCTCTGAGATTTGGGGAAGACTGAAACACAACTTTGACAGGTGTGAGTTTATTTCTATAACAATAATTAACATTTTATTCTGTGGTGCTATCACTCTCAGAGCCAAACAAGTTATTAATGATCTGTGAAGATATATAGGTTCCCGAGTACCGTATAACAGATATCCCAGTGCAGTGGTGATTGATACCATTCTAAGTTTTTACCCTTGCTACACCAAGTTTGGGGTGTGGCAACAACATTTTTAACATATTAAGTTATTGGAGTTTTCCCTGCAGGTTTACGTTTCACCATAGACTGTATACAAGAGAGAAAGCCGTACAAACCTGGGCAAAACTCTACAAACATTAACACTGGCGCTAGAATTCACATAAGACATCACGACCCATGTTTCATGACATGCCTCAAATTACCTCAGTCACACGACCTTCCATGACAACTACGGTAATAAATTGGAGGTGTGAAAGCGCATATTACACTAACCTGCCACGCCCCCTGAAGCTGAAAATCCTGCTCCTATTTCCCGCTCTTGTTGTCTTTCAAATGCTTGCCTGGTCATCTGGTGTCTTTGTACAGCCCGGCCTCCCATTAGTACCCTACTGGTGTAGTGAGTTCCGAATGCTCCAATGAATTCATCATACAACGGGCAATCCAGGTGACACCCAATGTCGAACTCACAGCATGACACTGCTGGTAGACGACGTACGGCTTCTCTGAACTCATCACTGACGTCAGTAGTAAAAGGTGACAACCTCGCATCGTAAACAATGACTCGACCTATGATATCGACGAAGATGTTTTCCGTATTGAGAGTAGACTGTAACATTTGTTTATAAGACGCACTTGCACTGAAGGAAGCACTGAATATGTCGAATGATCCTTTAGCGCTTACACTGACATCAACTGACAGGGATTTGCGATAGGTTTTCTCTGATGTTATGATCGACGTGGTAGAACCGAAATAACTTCCCATCTCGCGGATCAAGTCTGCCTGATCAGGAACCAAATAGAGTCGATCTGAACTGTATCTCACTTTGTTATATGTTAACCCAACCACAGACTGCCGAAAACCTGGGTCTACAGATCCATCATCATGTCGAGGGTTCCCGTAAAATATATCATAGCCTCGTCCCAGGTAGCCGATATTAGGAAACGAAGTCGTTCCATCAGCTGGGATTTGAATCCTGTTTTTAGCAACTGTTTGGCGGGCTTGCGCTTCTAATGATTCAGCCGTGATCGTTTCTTCGGGGATATTTCGGTCAGCCCGTAGAGTCTACAATGATGGAGATAAATTACGTCATTGTTATTTAGATCGCATCATACTGTTTACATATCTAATGATTCAATTGAATTTCGCTGGAGACCTTGGTCTTGTAAAACTTACCTGTAGCCTAAGTTCTAGCTGGCTCTCTGCTATGTTTTGTTTGGCTTTAATTCGATCAGCCTCCGCTTCTAGAGCAGGCACGGTCAAGTTTATTTGTGTTAAAATACGCTGTCGATCTCCGTAGATTTGATCTTGTCGCAACATGGAAAGTGACTGCCAAACGTTACAGTCTGAAATACAACAACATCATGACAGAAATACGTCCCGTGAATAAAATAACAGTGTACACACACGAGCGGCACGCGCGCACACATGCATACACGTGCGCGCAAGAATGTGAGAAATCACATCGTGCTCATTTTGCCTTAAAAATACTAAATGATTGAATATGTATGAATCATCAGTTATTAGGACGGGAAGATGCGATAATACAGCCAAGGACGTCGCAGATGTCTCTACGGATAGAAGTTACCAAATGAACGGTTCCAAATGACATAAAGACCAACAAATCATAATTTTATGAAATTATATTGATTCATGCTAATTATAGGGAATCATATTTTGGTTCTTAACGAAAATATCTGATTTTGCCAAATCGAACATTCATGTATAAAAGTTTACCTGAGTAATCTTGGCATTTCTTGGTAGATGCGGGTATCTCGTTGGTAGTACTGGAGCACATGCCGTCGCCAACGTAAGTATTATTACTACTTACACAAGACAATCTCCTACGAAACAAAAAAGAGTGTATCACATGTACTTGCTTAATTATCAACTCCCGGTTTTCGAATTAATAGCGTTTGCACATTCATCGTTTGTGCGCTTGCGCATATCGCGCGACCTAGGATCAACAAACCGGAAGGTAGGACAGATTTTTTGGAAATTGGAAAACGGTATCACGGTTACTTTGTGAAACACATACGTACCATCTCAATTTCAGTTCATTTTCTTTAAAAAATATTGTTTTTCAACTAGAAATCCACGTTTATCAGCTGTCTTAAATAGTTCTTCTAGCTGCTCTCATTGGAACCCACTCACACTCACTTCACTAAATGTTTAAAATATGCCGCTGGCTTCTTTCAGGTTGCATGTCTACCGGTGACTTTTTATATTTTTGTCCTACCCTCGCCCATCGCTAGGTAGGTTACACAAGCGCAAATAAAATTACATCGCGTCTGACGGTAATTCGTGAATCGGGAATTATAGTACGTTACCTGGTCATCACACCATCACCACAGCGATCGGAACACTCACTCCATTCACCAACAGCCCAATGATACGTGCACATACTAAAATCTGAACAACTGTAAAAAAAAAGGGGGACAGCACATTACCGCATGTTAACCAATTAGTAATAGGGTTAGTAATGCACACGTTATTATAACCTTATGTTTCCCTGCATCTATTTGTCCCATTCAGAAACATTTAACCCTCGTTGTTATTATGAAATACTGTAAATGCATTAATTATTCACTGGGTTTTAATTTCGCTATTTTCACTGACTATGTGACTACGTGAACATGTGAAATAATAATAAAATTCATTGTTTTCTTGACAAATTCGTGAAATTAAAACAGTAAATATGCTCAAAACATCAAACAAGCAGCCTCTCGGCTGAGATAGCTCCACTGTTAGCAATGCACATTTCAATTAAAGAACAGAAGATATCATTAGAAAATGAACAATATGTATAGTATCAAAGCAACAGACCTTGCTGTTTTCAACAAGAATTCAAAAATATCACTTTTCACCAAAAATGACAAAAATAATCATCAAAATTAAGTAATTGAAGATATCAGCACGAAATTAACAAGGTCCACATGTAATACACATGTATGTAATATCAAAGCAATTGGACTTGCGGTTTTCAACAAGAAGTTGAAAATATCACTTTTTACCAAAAATATTCACCAAAATTAAAGATATCATTACAAAATGAACAAATCTGAGAGAGATCCACATGTAGTACCTATGTATGTAATATCAAAGCAATTGGACTTGCGGTTTTTAATAAGAAGTTGAAAATATGACTTTTTACCAAAAATGACAAAAATATTCACCAAAATTAGAGAATTAAAGATATCATTACAAAATGAACAAATCTGAGACAGGTCCACTTGTAGTACCTATGTATTTAATATCAAAGCAATTGGACTTGCGGTTTTTAACAAGAAGTTGAAAATATCACTTTTTACCAAAAATGACAAAAATATTCACCAAAATTAGAGAATTAAAAATATCATTACAAAATGAACAAATCCGAGATAGGTCCACTTGCAGTATTTATGTATGTAATATCAAAGCAATTGGACTTGCGATTTTCAACAAGAAGTTGAAAATATCACTTGTTACCAAAAATGACAAAAATATTCACCAAAATTAGAAAATTAAAGATATCATTACAAAATGAACACATCTGAGATAGGTCCACTTGTAGTACCTATGTATGTAATATCAAAGCAATTGGACTTGCGGTTTTCAACAAGAAGTTGAAAATATCACTTTTTACCAAAAATGACAAAAATATTCACCAAAATTAGAGAATTAAAAATATCATTACAAAATGAACAAATCTAAGAGAGGTCTACCCAAGGTACATATACACCAAGTATCAAAGCATTCAGGCTTGTAGTTTTCAAGAAGAAGTCGAAAAAGTAAAACATTGACGCGGACGACGACGACGACGACGGACAATCACTCATATGATAAGCTCCGCTCGACAAAGTCGACAGCGGAGCTAAAAAGTGAAATTAACTTTCAGTGTAAATAAATGGTTTTACAGTACTGGGTACTAGTTTTAAATATCGAAGGCACCAGTTTAAATTTGAGGTTGGTTTATTTATCTAATAATTAATTTAAAATATTTCTAGTTCTATTTGTATGTGATCTCCAGAGGAATAGGCTCAATCTAGCGTTTCATGACATGGCATACGCTGTTCACATTATAAATTTGTCGCGAGTTAAGCTGGGCCTTTAAGTACACAAATGCTTACAGTTAAAGTTAACAGTTAAAGCTTGAAAATAATGATCGTTTCCTTTCTCTCAGCCCCAATCTACCAGCCGCTATAGTAAATTACCCATACAACTTTGGCGAATACCAGAAAATGTATTAGGTTGAAAATGTGTTTATCAACATGATATGAATTTATTTTTGGTACATTAACAAGAATCTCTAATTGCTAAAAGAATACAACAAAAAGAAGTGCAATAAAAGTCCAATATAGAGTAATTAAAGGGAGGTAGTCGTCGCGCCACGCATGCGCGAGATTTATGGGTGTCATAAGAACAAAATTGGCGACTTTGACTGTTGCGCAGATCAACGAGTACAAACTGATACGTTAACAAGCTTTAATTGGGTATTTTTTTAGGCGGTTGAAAGGTATTGAAATCACCGGCGGCAATTAGTGAAAGTCGCACCCAGGTAAAACCTCAAACTTGTGATTTCCATTAGAAGAGCGCATTGGATTGTGGGAAAATCAATGTTTATCAACACAAATGTCGCACATGCGCAGCGCGACGACTGCCGCGCTTTAAAGTCACGTCATCACAAGTACACTTACTGGAATGTTGTTCCAGCGGACGAACTGTCTGATGCACAGAAATACTCGGGCACGGTTTCTTGAGTGCCTATATTCTGACACACAGTTATACCATCCAAGGTTCCATGGCCACATCCACCTGTATTGCGGCAAATAGCTCCAGGGCGAGCGACAGGTGTCCATTCATAGCATCTGTGAATAAGAAATAAATACTCGTTGGTGTGCGCAATTCTCGCGTGATTTATATGTGAATATGTGTTGAAAAGATGGAACTGGTGGTGAAAGGGGTAACGATAGATCTGTCTATTCCAAGTCGATAATCAGCTCCCCTCGCACAACATTGATGCGAAATAAAATGATTTTTTTCCCTGAGAGTATCGAAGATGCGTTTGACGCTAGAGGGCGACTTATTTAAAATGTGTCACTGGTTTGGATGAAATTGTCACAAAGGATTGAAGAAATGTCACATAAATAGGGGATTTTCCGTACAATTGCGAGATCTCGCGAGATGTATGAAAAACGCGCGTCAAACGTCTGCCGCAAAAATCGAACGATTTGATTTTGAACTAGAATTTCTTTATTTCGTAACTCACATCGACCGGCCGATCTTCGACAGAGGAATATTGCTTCCGAATACCCTTACTTAATCAAAATTGCCTATCATCAAATGTGGACAGCACATTATTAAGCATGGAAATGTCCCCCAAAATACTTCGCGTTTGTCGAATCCCACGCGATGTTTGACGCGACTACGACGCTATGACCTTTGTTTGTCCTGTTTTTACGTTCGATTTCACGCACAACGCGTGATTCTCGCAGTGAACGGAAAATGGTCTATTAATAAATGTCGACATAAAGAAAAACACCCATCCAGGGTAATACTCGAAAAGTTCTTAAATGACAAAAATCGAGATAATAATAAATGTTTGTACATTCATATGCGCCGAGAGCAAACATAGAAAGCAGTCAAAGTAACTCACGCAAAGAATCTCGGTCGATACCTGAATTTTTTATTTTTTTTTGTTGTTGAAATTTTCGTCTAGCTTAGTGTTATGCGATCACTGATTTGACACATGGTCCCAATTTCCGAAAGTACGCGAAGCGTACACGTATCGATATTTTCGAAAATCTTCGGCGAAGCTTCGGGCTATGAAACGCAAGAAAGTGCAAATGTGGCACGCTCTGTATCTCCCCAATATTGACATGTAACTGTTTCTCACCTTTCGTCGTAGTGCGTGACGCATGATTGTTCAGAGTGTGGACGTATTTGGAACATGCATTTGTCGTCATTACCAGCCAGTATATCAGTTACAGCATTGATACAGACAACCGTACGATGCTGCATACCTCCCAGACATTCCTCCTGGATGCACGCAGACCAGGGCCCAACTAACCATTTGTACACTTGAAAGAAGACACCCAAAGGTTAAAGAATAATCACATCAAATCACAATTTGAACAATAAATACGATACGTTTAAAGACACTTTCATTTCTCTGATGGTTTAAAGAGTTGTAAATATTTATAATTGGTGTCCTTACGCTGTATCTTTAGTGTAATCCTCGGCCGCAAACGAGAATGGCTCCATATAACCAAGTCATCAAAGCCAGCCTGCTGTATTCCTTGTAATGGTCGTATCATAAGTCCGTATCGCCCAGCCATAAATTTACCATTTAAACGATCCTACAATTAAGACATTGAAATAATATACAAGCAGAGAGGTACAAGCATGTCTACTCAATTGTCCCGGAAGTGCTATGTTATATTCACATACAAATGGGAATCCTGGTTGGGTTATAGTCGTAGCCACCAGTGCGTTAAAGCAGGGGGAGTCGTCATCGCGCATGCGTCAGATGGCCATAGCGTGTCATTGTTTACAAATAAGCGTCAACCCTTGAGCCTTTGCGTGTGTTGTTATCGCCGACTCGATTCCCGCGCGTGCGCAGGTGACGACCCTCCCGCTATAAGATGTGCAATACCGGGAAAGAGAAGACACAGCTGCGAATGACTAAGATGACATCTACAACACTCGATTCTGGTAGTCAACGATATGTGTTTTATGAGAGTGTTCGTCATCTTTTGGAAAAAGAGACAAATGAATAAATTAAAAATGAGACAAAGAAACATTATGGAAAGCTAGAAGAATCCACCCATCAAAGTTTAACAAAAAGGTAAACCGAAAGTTATTATATAAGCGGATCATTCCATTCTGTAAATAGGCGGTGGAGGCAATTGGCAAGAAAGCATTCAACTATATGGGAGAGGGGAAGATAAAAGACAAACTCACCTGCGCCCACGTTTGCAATGGAGGAGACACAATATTTACAGCAAGTGATTCGGTTGAGTTAGTATCTATAGTGTCAATGAGTACACTTCTAGGGATTTGCAACCCTCCGAAAGTCCTAGACCATGGATCACTAATACCGTCAATCTCCAGGTGTTGAATATACCTCTTTCCAATGAAGTTCAAGCTCAGGGAAGCCTCTTCGACGATAACGGATTCGTCCTCGAGGTGTTCATTTTGCAGTGAGTCTAGGTTGAAATTCATCAACGCAGCGCACTCTGTATTTGCATATAGTTTGTTGTTGTACATGCATTCGTTGATTCTTACCGAATCTGAGGAAAGAAATGGCACGTTAACTACATTCTGTGACGTCAACAACATGGCGTCAAAACTGGGGCAAACAATATCGTTCAAAGCGGCAATTGTGTTTAGTCGTGTAGTTCGGAATACATCAAATCTTACAAAATCTACTTTTTACGGACTCCTAACGATGTGAACAATACGGACTTATCCATTACGAAACTTACGTCACAGATGAGGTCATCACAAGAGTGTACGCTTATAAAAAACCGAGTGTAAATCTTTTTGCCTCGTGACGTCACGAGTGCTGAACCACGCGATGATCTATATGTTGTAAGTACCGATATATAGACCAGTCCAATATTTACGTCAATATTTAAACAACTGTATTATATATATAGAACGGTGGATATTTCAGAGACGCTTGCGCTAGCTAGGACATACCCTACGAAAACAAGTCCAAAACATCACAAGGGCAGCACTGAAATGAAACCCACAGGGAAAAAGAAAACGGGGTCATCCAAGAAACACCTGGCGACAGGACCTATAGGCTGATGTCCGGAAGCTGGGCTATACCTGGGGAGAAGTGGAAAAACTGGCACAGGACCGGCCTGGTTGAAGGAATCTTGTTGGTGGCCTATCTCCCAAGAGGGATGATAGGCATAACTAACTAAAAAGACGAAGAAATCACTCGTCTCTGATAAAAAAAAGTACACTCAACAGTGTTTGAAGTTGTGTGTGAATTTGTTTTAGAATGTATTTATTGGAATTAATATACATCCTTTGTTATTATACTGGAGTTAGACATTGGACAATGTTTTACTCTTATTGGACACTGTGCTTCTAAATGAGTACGAGGTAAGAAATATTGGAGATTCATTATAGTCATGTAACACCACTTACGTTGTGATTCACACACATACATCTTTTTATTGGAACATATGTCATCATCTAATTTGTATGTGTTCGTACGCCACCTACAAGGAAACACAGGTGAAAATGTTAGTATCTTTTCTGTGGTTGCAGAGGGAGAAACAGGTAAAAACATGATCAGTAATTACATGTAATACATTCTCGAAATAATTTGATGCATTTCAATACCTCATATAATAAATAAAATACAAAATTAAATGATTTACTGGATAACACATCAGTCTGATAATAGACAATGTTCCGTTCAACTGCGAGATTTCGCGAGTAGCGTGAAAGACGAGCGCCGAACGTCTGCCGCAAAAATCGAACGATTTGATTTTAAACTCAAATTTCTTTATTTCGTAGCTCACATCGATAGGCAGATTTTGACAGGGAAATATTGCGTTTAAATACCCTTACTTCATCGAAATTGACCATAATCAAATGTGTATGGTACATTATTAAGCATGGAAATATCCCCCAAAATACTTTCGCGTTTGTCGAATTTCATACATTTGTCGCCACTACGGACGCTATTTGCCCTGTTTTTACGTTCGATTTCACGCACACCGCGGGATCTCAAAGTGAACGGAAAATGTAATCGATAGAGGTGATATGATGAATATTAAGCGCACGTTACGGTTAGGACAATATTCCAATTCTTCAATATTTGTTACACCTACCAAAGCTGCAAGCATTTGCCGGACAAATTAGGTTCTCCGCTCTCCCAGGGAAGATCATTCAACGATAGAGGTAGTTTTTCGTGGGTCCTCCAAGTGGTGAAACCAACGTGGTACCCATTGATCCAGAGATCCTCTCCCCGGTGTGTACTACCGGTAGTTCTGATAATAGCGTCCATTGTGGTTCTACTGAACACCTTCGCCAAGACTGTACCTCTTTCTAAACACAAATCGACAGCTTCTTGCCACGTGACTTTCTCCTCAAAGATCTCGAAATCTGGCATATCGGAAGCTGTTGGGGTAGGAAGAGTGTTTTTTTTTTTTTTTGAATTAATAGCAAAGTTACAATGAAGTATGGCGACTCTTATTATTTACTAGTAAGTGATATCCGATAAAATCCACGTGAGCTTATGGTTTTTCTGCCAAATTTGTGAACTTAAAACCTTAGTGAATATGCTTAAAACATCACAATGAAATACAAGTGAAAATAGGTGGTTTTACAGTATTACTAGTATTATTACTATTCTTCCTTAACTGTCAATGGATAAACGCATTTAGCTGACTGTCTTGGTCATCAAGACTCTAACAACAGATTCTCGGCTGTACGTTCTAACAAAATTTGGGGAGATATCCATAAGAATCTACTAGGCCCATATTTTTTTTAAATAAATAAATTCGCCACACTATTATCGACTACCAAACATGATACGGTATATTACTTAGCCTGTCATGAAGGCATCAGACCCTACTGTGTTGGGTTTGGAGCACCGCGGAGGGCGCGACTCACGCGACCTAGTCAGGCTACGTATACTACTTTTCCACCTTAATCATTACGTTACGTTTCGGCAATGATGTCTTGTATGATCCAGGGGAGTTGAAATGACTGATAAATTTGACCACGGCTTTCAGCATGACGTCATCGGAGCTTTTTTTTATTATTCCAGTCGTTCTGAAACAGGGAGTGTTTGAGGGCGCTCTGAACGGGGTCTATAGTGGAAGTTTTTAGTTTTTTTATAAACTATAATGGAAGTTATTACTCTATTGTTTAAAAAAGCTGTAATTTTGGCCTGCTAACAAACTTGGAGAAATGTTGAAAATGGCTGTTATCTCATCAAGGGGATTTATATATTGAATCTTACATATGACCTATGATGAGTTTTGATTGCTTGCTCGGGCAATGGGCTTTAATCTCAAGACACAAGGAAATTACGCTTACAAGAATAATACTATCCTTACAATCATATAAGCAATATATACGTCACTTACCACGGGTGGATCGCTTACTTATCGCCCTTGGTGGATGCTTATCCCGCAAGCCGACATAATAGTCGGGCATGATCTGTGGCAAACCTACCGATATCAACTGCGGTGTTAGCGGACATACACCAAAGAAAGCTTCCTTATAAGATGCCGCATATGCGAGTGAAGAGCAAGCAAACCCTTGGTGGTCCGAGTATATTGTAGTTGTTGCTGCAAGATGGAATAATTAAATCAATGATGCGGAATGCGAGTTCCGTAATTTGCAGACTAATATCACGAATTTAAGCAGGGAGAAGTATATATAAAACCGAGTAAAAGACAGAAGGACACAAGACACGCCACCTGATTTCATGTATAATAGATAGAGCTGATTTCCAGCAGTACGAAACGTTATGAATTCGAAGCAAAGTGTCATAAAAATAATCACACACAAAGACTATTATAGCAATAAACAATACCGATATCGATACCAATTTACCTTGAGCCAGATAACATTTTACATGTAGAAATCAAAGACAAACTGCGTGTTGATTTCATGGAAATTGTAAAATCGGGTTAATTGTGGTCATTAACTCTTTCATAAAATAAACAGTTTTTCCTTATTTTTCAATGTCGATCAAAACCTGCAGTTAATTGATAATTGTGTCTATTTGGTCCAAAAATGTATTAAAATGTGACACCGAAATTTGCGCGGATAAATACGTAGTTAAAATCGTGGACGTCATATTTGGTTAAAGCGGGAGGGTCGTCATCTGCGCACGCGCGGGAATTGAGTCCCAAGCGACGATAACAACACACGCTAAAAATGACAATAACAAATGTAAACAATGACACGCTATGGCCATCTGGCGCATGCGCAGGTGACGACTCCCCCACTTTAACGAGTGTATAATTGAAAATGTTTTCCTAAAATCTATATTATATGGTAAACTTACTTGGTACAAGTTGACGTGTATTGGCCGAACTACTTCCACCAATACTGCCTTTTCTTTGGCAGCTCCCTGTAGCCGCCTGTATTTCCAAACTAGACACCCCATCACACCAGTCACAGACAAACACAGTAGTTATACTTTTGAAGTTAATTTCAACCTGCGTGAATCATAGACACGTAAGATGAGTAATATGATAGGCATGTACAAATTGATTAGTTGGTCTCGGCGAAACTGTGCATCTTCACTGACACTCTCCTTTCGTGCCGCGATCATGTAACACACTTCTCCGAGGTGTATAGGTCATTTTTCCGGACGTACATACCAAAGTGAGACTAACCGGAAGTGGGAAATGCGCGCGCATGCAGAAACGCAGTATCGTCAATTTCCGAGAAAGTGGTCTATAGGATGAAAAAGGCTGTAGCAAATATTATTAATAAAAGATATACCTTATTAAGTGTGATTTTCTGTCCTATTTGTCCGATGATCTTAAGCGCAGAGATAAATCCTACATTAATATTGCTTATCTTAAACACATTCGTTCCTGGTGTAACGAGTACATCGATCGGGAAAGTTGAATTGTCTGTACCAGAAATTATAAAAGATATATACAGGCCCTCCGAGGGTCCATCTGCAACGTCTACACTAATACTATAATTAGAATATGCTGTAATGAAAATATAAAAAAAAAATATATATATATAGCAAATAAACACATATACCTCTTACATTTATATATAACGCTAACAATTCTATGGCATACCATACTTCGCCATACCATGATATCAGATCATCATATCATATCTTATCATCAGATCTTATCAAATCACATCATATCATCAAGGTACTACCGTACGTCTCTGTATTGATATTTTCGACTAAAATATCTGACACTGACAACACGGCGACACTAATTGACCAACAGTGGCGGATCCAGAGGGGCCGGGGGGCATGCCCCCCCCCAACGCATGACGATTCATATCTACTGGATTACGCATAGCTTCTCTGCGATTTTCGCTCCGTATATCTTAAGCGAAGCTTGCGCCCCCCCCCCCCCCAGTACATTTTGCTGGATCCGCCACTGTTGACCAAAGTAATATAATTCTACATATATACTAGTGTTCTAGTCTTTCGCGTGTTCGAAACACACCAGTGAAGTAGCTGGGACTTACCCTGATCTGTGAACACTAAGTAGTTCTGCAGCCCCACGTCTTTCCACGTATTGCCCGGATGTCTGGGGTCGGAGACAGCCCAGCAACCCCACGAAAGGATGTAATTACTCTCCGGTATACTTTGACCCAAATGCTGTGCCCAACTATCGTTCTTTTCGATTTCCACGTGGTGTTGGTTAAGGTCGCTGAATAATGTACACAGTCTGACATCTGTTTCATTGCCGTGACCACCGGTTGAGTAAGTGAAAGCTTCACAGCCCGCACTGAAAGGCAAAATTATAACGGGTATAGTTTGTAAAACAATCGTTAAAAAGTCTGCACGTATCACATATCATGATGCTTGAATTGAGGTCTAAGGATTATCATTTGGAATAATTGATGAAAGCAGTTTTTATTTATTTATTTTTATTTATAATGAATATTTAATTCAAGTACTTTTCGGCGCCTCCAAACGTTGAAGATCTTCGGCTTCCCAGTTGATTCTGAATAATGCATGTGGATTCACAAAGATTCGCTTCTTTTTCGAATCAATTCGAATACTGGTGAATCATATTTGTTTTGGGGATGTATCTTTCAGTGACATTGTGCCAAAAGCCAGACACATGTTCATGATGTTTTTGTTTAGATACATAATAGTATGAGGTTATTACGAATCTGGGTTACGAATATCTCAACGAATGCACGAAGACAGTACGCTGCGCGTCGGTCGATACGCGGCGCACTGTCTGAGTGCATACTTTGAGGTATTCTCGTAATAACCTTATTATTATACATCTTTACCATCCAAGGATATGGGAATGCCGAAATCCAAAAAGTTAAGAACAGAACTTTTTTGTGTGGAGTCCGTTCAAATTCCGATGGCAGCCATGTTTGTTTTTATTATTTGAGGACGCTTACGCGCGTAAACATTCTATATTTGGAATTCGCATTTCCTTATATGGTAGAATGAAAATACATTGTACCCCGTAAAATAACGCAAAATTACGGCACGCTTTAACTTGTGGCGCTACGGTGACAGATGTATAATATAATAATAATCTGGAATATTATTACCGGTATACATACCTTTTTCTGCATTCGTCGTAACAAACCTCACTGTTCATGTTGTAAACGTTTTCGATCAAATCAACTACTTGTTGTTCAACGGCTGCCGCGCATGCGTATGTCCATCCAATGTAGGAATCCGGCTTCAGATACTTGTCAGTTAATGTCGCCTGAAATGCGCATGTGCAAATCTCGCCGTTTGTAAGCGGTATTTTCTTATGTATTTCAGTTTCATCGTCTGGAGCTGAAATTGAAAAAGGATACTGAATGCATTAACGTTTAATTTGTAGTAGTCGTGATTTTTTATAGGCACATGTACGTTTTACAATGGGTGCTGAAAGATGGGGGTAAAGTACCTTTCAAAGTCAAGCTAGTGTCAACATTTCCCAACAAGTCCCGGTCAAATTGTTTTTCGTGTTCATGTTGTTCACTGCATAGCATAATGTTTAATATCTTTGACTATAAATACATTACAGCATTTATTTTATGCCAAAATTAGGATAATAAATCACGTAAGATCGACATGCACAAACTGGAAATCAAGCAAGCGGAGGGGTGTCACCAACACGTGTGCGGAGTCACGAAAACAACGCACGCTAAAACCGCAAAGGCTCACGGGTAGACACTTGTTCGTAGTCAACGACACGCTCTAACCGTTTGCCGCATGCGAAGTGATGCCCCCCCGCTTTAAATAAAGAGTTGCGACTAGGTCGACTCCATATAGAGGTCAACATTTAAGTTGCCATTACAGTCGGCCTTGTTTTCTGAAATTAGAATGGCATACGAAGATTACTGATACTAACCACATTCTCCGGAGTCATCCAAGCGGTAAGCTGGCGGACAGACTGTCGACAAAGCATACATTTGAGACATGTTACAGCAAACTTTTGAACTCAGGGTCACAACAATATTTATGTTGGATGAAAAGTTATTGCAGGGTCTGCGGTGACTCGTTTAGTTAAAACACACGACTCTTGTCTGTATGAGTATAGAAACTTGCGTACAAGCTTCGTGACACACTAGGAATCTGCGAAAATAATCAGAAACGTCTTTCAAATAGAAGACGGTATATAACGCTATTATTATGCACTAATGACGGACTTACATAAAAGACCTATCAAATTTGTTATGGTTGTGCACTTCAATTTCATACTATGCATAATGTTGTGTCTGTATCGATCACTAACATTTTTATTTCTCATGATTTATTCATTGTTTGTATTACCAACTTTAGGTAATTTACGTTATAATGTATCATTCATTTGTGTTATTTTCCTGTAAATCGCGCCCTCTAGTGACGAAGCACGTAAATGTGTGACACAAAGGTCGTTCAAAGCATTCATATCACTTTGATCTGTAGTCCACCAAGGAAGATTGGGTTTTTGATTTGAGCTGATACCTTCCACTAAGGTACTAATACCTTCCATGGCTGAACGACTTCACAACCAATCGCCGTCGTCGCTTTCAGCGCCATTGCCTACACTCATATACGTCATTTTGACATCACACATTCGCCCGTCATTAGAGGGCGCACTTTTATAGTAGTGACGTATTTTATGTTGAATATAAACGAGACTGATTTAAGGTTGTTCGCTGTAGGCCCCTTTTTTCGATCTTTTTTACCATGATCAAAATAAACTGTGATCACCAAATGTGAAAACAATCTTTCAAAATACAAGCCACTTTAATCCTATACATCCAACATTTTTGACACTCTGAAACAAGGAACACAGAATTTAATTCGGCGAGTTGTTTCCCCAACCAGTACAGTAGTTGCCTTTGGAAAAAAGGTGAATGCAACAAGAGATAGGACAACGAAAATTGTGACCGGAAGCGCGGTGTGAACCTTGGGGAAAAAAGAGGAGAGTCTGGTACAAATTGTTCTACAATTGAAGAATTAAAAAGATTATTTCTAGAGCAAGTAAATATAGTGCCACCAATAGGACTTGCAGTCACAAACGGATTTTACCCCTCAAAAGAGCGCCCTCCGAGTTAATTATGCACCCAGAATGCAATGCGAATCCAATATGGCTGTTACCACAGTTTTCTCCTATGCTGGAAGAACAAAATCATATATACTCACTCGGATTACAATGTTCTTGGTGTTCAGGGAGTACACACATTGAGTAGGAGACATCTTCATTTGCGATGTAACACCAAGCATTCGCAAGATGGGAATCACTGCCCGGTTTAAAAGACGGGTTGCCGGGGTTACGGCAGAAGTTGTGGTTTCCCAGTCCACGTCCAGGGTGATTATACGGTGTCTGTATGTCGCCTCCACTTTGTGAGGACCATTTTAGGCAAACTTTCCCTGAGCGGGTTTGACTCACTTTGCCCCGGTAGTCCGAACCATCACGTTTAGTATAGCATTCCAGTGCGTCTGTGCGTGTATAAATAAACATAAATGCCTGTATTAGTTTCTGTTTGCAACTCTTCAACATGCCAGGAAGTTTTTCACGCCCACTTTCTGCTACAGAAATTGAGTTACTTTCACTATATGTACAGTGAACGGCAGAAACCCGGGGACGTTATATATGTGTTTTGTTATAATCGAAATGGTTTTGCGATTTCATCGTGAGCTGAGTTTATTCAACTTCATCTAACCGGCAAGTCCTTCATTGAGAATGCGTGTGAAATCGCATTTGCTATGTCACGTGACGGAAAACGCTGAAATTATGGGCATTGACGATGTTTAGCGCTTGAGTCAATCATTATTTGAATTTGAATGAAAGCTGATCATCAGCAGGCCCGTAGTTTGGGGGGTGGGGCGTGGGGGGTTCGGGGGATTCGGTCGAACCCCCTAAATTTTGGAAGTGAATAGATTTATGATCGTAGATTAGAACATAATAAAACAAACAGTATTAATTAAAATAATTATCGTTGTTTAAATCACTTGACTCCTGAGGTAACTACCAGAGTAATGTAATGAGTAATGCATAGTAATGAGCATTTAGGTGGCATCGAGCTTTAAATGTCAATCGTGAAGTTATGCCGTCTCAGCTCAACAGCAGCCAACCAAAACAGGTTGTTATAAATAGGCAAGCTTTTATTCGGTTTTTCGCGATGGTGTAATGAAGATCGCGTTCAAGCACCTGATTTTACATATTAAAACAACAGGAAACAATAATGTAATGGTAGTCACTCTCTGAATGATGTGGTGGTCCTGAATAGGGCAGTTTCAAGTTGTCTTGTGCTAATGTTCGCTCAGTTAGTAAAGTGTGGAGATCGAACGGGATTGACACGACAACACCACACTGTACTTTCCTAGTTTGGTTCATTAGTTTTGTATTCTTCAAGTTAATGATGGCATATATACTGTTTTGTTCCAAGTGTATCAGCCAAATGTAGTCACTCATTGTATTAGTACGTGTAGCCTCTGTTATTGGACAATAGTGTACAGCTACGGGTTGAACATATCATTAAAAAAAAATACCGAAGATTTACATTTTGTTGTATCATCAAAGTATCATCACGAGTTGTATAGGTCGAAGAGCTTCTTGCAGCCAACAATTTACCCCACAGTGTTACTTCAGCACTGAAACTATGCGATGAATCATAAATTGCAAACATAATTTTTTTACACGTTTTTTTTTGATGTTTCAGAAAATTTACTATATTTTTAGTGGGTTCATAAAAGGAGTTGTAGTCATTGAAGTCTATTGAGACCGCTTCTAAACTGCCACTATATGCATATTATTTTACCACCCTCTAAAAACAGATTTACAGTGAACCAAATATATTTACATACTGTAAGAAACTTGGTAGTATGCCATTAGTTAGTGCATTTAATTTGTTTGATGCAATCATTGTGCTAACTATTTCTTATGGTAGCGATATGGGGGTACGTAAATTCGGAAATCGAGAGGATAACATTTTGCAGATATCTACCCGGTACTTAGCATTAATAGTTGTACAAACAATGTAGCGATGTTAGACGAATGTGGAAGGCTGCCATTGTGCTGTGGTTGTTTCAAGCGTTGTATCTCATATTGGTTAAAATTACTGAAACCCCAAAACATGTTATATCATGCTTAAACGATTAGACAAGACCGGCAGACCTGCTTGGGAAACCCACATAAAAATCTCCTGTTCAAATATGGTTTCGGCATTGTCTGGTTTGAAAATCAAGTTGGAGATACTGCAAATTTGTTAGGAATATTCACTCAAAAAATAAAAAAAAATAGTGGCATGCCTCAATTTCACAATCATTCAGGCTGTGTACATTTGGAAAAATCAAAGTAAAATCAAAATCAAAATCAAAAAATCAAACCTGGGAGATTTATTGGCAAGCAATTATAGACTAAAATATATACTGACGAGTTTTCGCTGTTTTGGCCATAAACATAATGTTGAATTAGGCAGACACACAAAAATACAGTTAGATCAATATTTTTTTAGTTTTTGCAGTGATACGTTCGAATTTAGCATGATAGAAAATGAAATTTACTTTGTTTTTATATGTCCATTATATAATGATCTAAGGGCTGATCTTTTGTCAATAACCCTATGCAATTATGCAAATACTGACAGGCTTACTTCGTCGCTACACAAACTGTCACACCATATATCAAATAGCTCTATATTTTTTAAAAGTTTTCAAGCGACGAGATGAATATGAATTCAGCTTAACTTAGTACCATGTATTTACATGGATGTTGTATGTGTTTAAAACGTGCTATGCACTTTTCTACCCATTACATTTTGTAAGATAGGCTGAGGGCCTGTACAGAAATAAAATTACATAATACAAAATTGACTAATACTAAAATGAATAATTGTAGACAGATTTCGACATGAAATCGTGTCACTTTTATGTGGCGCTAACATCTGCGAAGAGCGAACAAACTCGTAAGTAGCCTTCTACCTTAAAATACTTAGACAATAATGCTAAGATAAGTACAGTCTTGTCTTTTTTGTGTACAACATTTTGCCGTAGTGGATCAATGGTGTGAATGTGTTTGAGGAATGGCTCAGGACCCCTTCTCTAAAATGGTAAAATAGTTCAAAGATGTTATGTGAAATATCTTACCAATAAAATTTAATTTAAAACCGATAATATAAAAATGTCTGTAACAGAGCTCAAAAACACTTTTTGAATATTATAAAATTCACACATTTCACATCAAATGTATAAGTGTTGTTTTCGAACCCCCTATTCAAAAGTGCTGGCTACGGGCCTGCATCAGTATTTCTCTGTAATGTTCTCCCCAGGCCAAAACAGCGTCGCGGGCCCCGACGCGATCGGATTTGCGACGCTATGTGTTTCCTCCGCGATGCTATTATTTATCCCGTGATCTGATTTCTTCAGTCTCTCACAGACTGTAATATTTCCTGGCTAACTAGTTAAATCTACAAATGCATTGTATTAACGCCAATTTCCCGGGATAATCCCCTGTTGTTTCTCATTGGTTGGATTTCGTTTTAAAAAAACAAAGCAGTTCTATAAAGACAAAGCCGTAAGCCCCGGTGTCAAACGCTCATTGCCAAACGTATATTCATATGCAAATGATATAGTCACACTTGGGGTCAAAAGCCACATGTTTCCGGTGTGTACGAAACGTATTTTCATTATTATTTTTAGAAATGTAGTCGTACTATTATTCTAAGTTTTGATTTTTGTCAGTATTTTTGATATTGTATTTGTTTTTTGAGATCAAAATGTGAAAAAATATATTTATGACGTAAACAATTTTGACCTCGTGATTGTGAATCCAAGATGGCGTCACCCGCGTAAGATCCAGCGAGCGTGAACATCCCACTCGGATCGCATATCGTGCTCAGATTCGGATGAATTAGGTGAAGCATTATTGAAAATAATATATTTATCAAGAAATTGGGAATTCTAATCAAGAAACGTGTGGAAATTGGAGTGACACTTGTGTTATTTCTTGGAAGAAAAGCCTCAATTTTACGTGGTATAACAATGGCGACAATTCGTAATTCAGACCTCCGTTGTCTCGAATTGTTCACAATTGTGTTGAACAGACAACATCGATGATTAAAAAAAATACATAAAGATGGATAATTTCAGCCAGAAAAAACTATTATTGCTCGAACATAGTAGCGTAAGTATCGTGACTCGTAACAGTTGTTGTACTTAACCGGAAAACAACAGAAACGGAAGACAAGCAATGAGAATAATCAACTCCATGTTTAATTTACCGGGACTGAACAGGGTTTTATAAAGTTGCTGATTGCTGGGCAAAGCAAAGAAACAGAAAACTCAGTATTTCTGCAGGACATTTGCAATACTAAACATGCAGTGCAATAATTGTTTACAGGTTGTACATAAAATAAATAGAAAAAAAGGAAAAAAACTGGTTTTGTTTTATTCCTCCATATGACAAACAATATGTTAATTTATGCTAATTATATGCTAATTATTATGCAAATTAGCCGCGACTCGATGAAAAATGTCTGTGGAGAACACTGAAATACATCCCCCAAAATGTGAGTTACGTCACATCCATCTTATAAATAAAAATCAGATAATAATGCTGTACTACCTTTAAGATAAGGAGACGCCTCTGGAGACCAATCTCCTCTCCCTAGCCGGTTCCTGGCAGCCACACGCAATCGGTAAGTCTGACCGTATTCTAGTCCACCAATCATAATGGTCCTTTCGTTGAATGCTGCATCGGCGTACGTAACCCAAACACGCTGGCTCGAAAAATATTGAATGACGTATCCGATGACTTCATTACTACTGGTCATGTCTGCCGGTGGCTCACTCCATTCTATGATTATACTGTTTCCGATGATTGACACAGTCCTAACTTCCGGGGGCGCTTTAGGTGTACCTTCAAATTTAGAGAACACGATTATTACCTTATTGTGTTATTTTGTCGGCACACGTTTTGGCTACCATGGAATTTGTGTTCCAATTTCACTTTCGATAACAATAAAAATAGCTACCGGCGCTACCACTTTCGCAATTGATCTTAGACATCGACGGCTGTCGAGATATCGTTGACAACGAGACTTTCCCCCTCAAATAGCGTTCCATTTTCACCCGGCACCGCGTCTGCTGCTTCATTACCATGGTTACATAGGGGATGTGGTGTTATGGAAGAATGGAACATAATTTGAAGGTAAAAACAAAAAAATTGTAAAATTCAAATTTTAACTGTAACATTACGATACGAACTTTCCGTTTTCAGGGGGTGAAAACAACTGCTTTTGACAAGTGAATTCAGAAACATATCAACAACATTCCATAACGAAATACTGTAAAACATGTCTTTGCTAGCTAGCATGCTATTTTAGCTAATCTGTAATTTTGCTAATTCAAGATGTAGATAATTTAACATAAAGTATATTCTCGCAATGAGATTAATTCGTGCCAAGAGTCAAATCCGCTAAAATTGCATGCAGCTATTTCAACGTGTTCTACAATATATTCCATATACATAATACTATTTTTTTATTATAATTACCGACATGTTTCGCATTTCATTTGTCTTGAATTATGACTAAAACAGTTGAATGATATCGCAAAATATGTAACATCTTTAACAACTCTTGTATAAACAATAAATTTAATAAATATGGCTAAATTCCGGGATTGACCACCAAACAAATAGACAGAGACTCAGTGGGGAAGTCTAAGCCACTGGTAGAGAACCGCGACCGCAAATGTAAAAAAACAACAAAACGGGAATAATAAATTAAAAAAGTGATAACCAGTCATTGTCAAAACCATATGCTCCGTTTGTATCGTAGTCACGAAACTACTGAGACGGTATCCATATTATCGTCCGATATGTAATGGCTTCGTGTAGAAACAAACAAGATGGTCGCCAGTCAGCCATTTTGATTTACTGGTTTCAAAAATGTGCGAGTGTTTGTCCGATATGATGTCTGATGTTAGAAGGCCACTTTGAATCTAACCCGAAAAATAAAATAGAGTGCGCCGTACTCCAATTATGTCCAATGTACATGGTTTGAACGAAATCCATTCATGCATGACTGAAATCCAATGTCGAAATGGTGAACATTTGTGGTTTTGATACATTTTTCACCCTAAACTGGATCATAAAATGCATGTGCATATGTCCGGTATGATGTACGTGTAAAGTTTAAACTGTATCGGCACAGGCATGCCAGATATATGGATACGCGGAACTACATTTTTTAAAACAAAATGACTGTCAGTCGGCCATTTTAAACTCCATACAAAAAATTAAATGACGTACACCAAGGTCCCACTGTGTTCAATGTACACGAATGTATGAATGTATGCATGCGCAAACTATGCGGATCCTAAAAACAAAGATGGTGACTTTGACTGTTGCGTAGACCAACGAGTACAAACAGATTAGCTCCATGGTTATCAGAAGGTGTCGACAATAGTGCACGTCGTGCCCAGATCAAAACTCTATTAAAAGAACGCATTGGATTGTGGGCAATTGTTTTTTAACAACACAGTTGTCACTCTTGCGCGGCGCGACGACCACGGATTTTAATGCATTTCTGGGATTAAGACTGCCTTTCGGCCATCTTGAATAGGACTATGAAACAAATGCATGCGCATATGTCCGATACAATGTTTGATGTGTGTGTGAAATGTGAACTTGATCGGTTGCGCACGCACATCGATCCATGAGTCCTCGTTTTCGGGCTGCGTCCGAACGTGGGCTAAAATGTAACATGTAAACACCTACAGTGGTAATATTAAGACAGTACTGTAATTTCGTGTAAACAATGTATTTTACACGCGCTGTATTCGTCGTATGGAAAGCGCGCTGCGCGACGACCGCCACCATTTAATGTGAATACGTAAAATATTTACCTGGCACTCTGATTGGGGATGTTGATGCACCTGATTTTGAGCCACTTTCTATGTGTGTCGTAGAAATACGGAACTTATAAAAACCTGACTGACTCTCGTCCACGGGAAAATCGACGAAGGTTTTATTGGCATGGTCTATGGTAGCGACTGTTGCCCAGGAGCTATAGGACCGGCCAGTATATCCACGTGTTTTTTTGTAGTCTAACTCATAGCCAACAATCGGGTCGTATTGCGATAACATCTGAATCCATGTGACCGTAATTTTGCCACGATCTGGAAAGACATTCGGGCTAGGCATTCGTTGCCCGGGGCTTTCTGTCGTCATTTTCTCTGTAACAAAATAGAATACATATACTGAAGAAAATAACACGGCAATGACTTATGGAGATATCTCTGTGCATTCATATACCCCGAACAAAGTTCGAATAAAAAAGGTCTGTACAATTTATGCAAACAAATGACGTCACTATGCCTTGCGTAATGTGATTAATTATTCATGATGACGTTTGTTTCGGACAAACAAATGAAGAAAAAAAAAACTAAAACAGTAATAGAGATATTAATTGTTGTGTAATCTTTGAGCGAGTATTTTGTTCGGGTGATAAAATTCCTTGGGATTTTCAACAAATTATTGAAAAGTCACTACAAGGTTAGGTAGTTGGGATGACATTGGCGTTATCGTCTGCGCATGTCTTCTACATTGTACCTGTTTCACGTACTGAACAAATGTTTCATAGTAGAATCAATCTTATTGTTAGTAACGGACCTCGAAATTATTTGTGCAACGTTGTACTGTTTGTTTTCTTCCGTATTTCACTAAACAGAAAACATGGCGGATGTGTACTTTACCCATTTCGTGGCATCTTCCTTCTGCCAAATAGTCGTCTGTCTCACAGTGACATTCACCGTCACCGTTTACACCGTCGTCACAGGGCTGAATACCACAGTTGCATTCTAAAATAAAAAAACAAGAATGATTTTATTTTGCGTATTAGCTTTCTACGTTTTTAAATTACTAGTGGTCTGGCATCGTCAGTAATTGCGCCCTCGCCGACGGATCACTCAGACGCAAAGTTGCGAGTGAACCTGGAGCCGTCTATGAACTATCGCCCACGATATCAGGCTAGTATTTGTTTCTGAGACGAAAGTGAACTTACATTGTATTTTTGTGTCTTAACAAAACAGAGTATAGTTGTTATGTATGAAACACCGAATCACATTGATCAACACTCCAACAATAAATCTTTCCGCTCTAGCGAAAACACATTTATGTGACGTCAAAGTGACGTAGAATGGTGTAAGCATTTGTGTAGTCGTTCGTCATTTGGATTATAACAAATCTCTTAAAACAAGAGTAATTTTTATTGACGTACAAATACAGTTGAAAACGCCGCTGAGCATCATATCGAGGAGTGCTGATTATGTCACCATGGTTATTGATTTTGTCACCATGGTTATTGATTTTGTCACCACAGTTTTTTATTTTTTCACCACGGTTATTGATTTTGTCATCATGGTCATGAATTATGTCACCACGGTTATTGATTTTGTCACCACGGTTATTGATTATGTCACTACGGTTATTGATTTTGTCACCACGGTTATTGATTATGTCACCACGGTTATTGATTATGTCACCATGGTTGCTGATTATGTCACCATGGTTGCTGATTATGTCACCAGGGTTACTGATTATGTCACCACAGTTGCTGATTATGTCACCAGGGTTACTGATTATGTCACCAGCGTTGGTGATTATGTCATCATGCTTGTTAATTAAGTTTCCATGCTTGTTGGGATGGTCTACTTCCCAGCCCGTCGTTTTCTCATTTTGGCATGTGGAAAATTGAACACATCAACAATATAGACACCAGTTTAATTTCTTTGGTTTCACTGAAATGCAGTGCAGCGTGCTCGACTCACGATAAATTAGGCTCCATATGATAAACCTACACAACAGGTTCAAAGTTGAACCATATTGCTTTTTTATTGGTGTCGCTAACACATGATCCCTGACAGGTTATTTACATGATTATATATACACAGTGGTTTAAAATATAGTGTTTTGATCCCCCACATGTGAAGCGAGTACATTAGATTTGTACATATGCCTGTCCAGGTTTGTCACGCCAGTTCGGTGTATAAATACAGAGAAATTGTAGGAGACCTGTCGTCTGTCTGTACCCATGTCTAGTTGCGTTTTGCACGAATTGTGAAGGTTTCTTGGTCTGAATTGGAGTCATCGACGGTTGATTTCCATTGGAAGAGCGCATTGAATTATGGGAAAGTCAATGTTCATCAACACAAATATCGCGCATGCGCGGCGTTCTACGATGTCTTGAATGCTGTGTTAGTTTTACAAGCTGCAACACGGATACTAGTATAGAATGAGAAGAATATCAAATTCGTGATCCTACAATATCAAATTTTTTAAAACTCGTGTAGTAATTCTAGTATTCACTAATTTATTCCCCGTCTGACATATAAAAATGATATGGTAGGGGCATTCGTGAGACATCTTAGACTAAACTGAGTATAGGTTTATCCCTCTGATATGTCAACATTGTTTTCCTCGTGCAATATTCAATAGAATGGCCCAGCTGTGGTGATTTTGAAAAAAAATAGTTTTGCGAAATTTGCGGGGAACGCGAAACCACCACAGACTGGGTGATATTGCAGCGAAACAACAGTTTGTCGGGAACAGACATGATGTCTACGTTGCGATTACGGGAAGGGAATAACATGGAACTTTATACCCAAACGCGCGCCTAACTTTAGTGGGTTTTAGGAAAGACTCATTGGGATGACAAAGAACAGTCTTTGTAAAGTGTTGGGATGTGCATTTGTGAATATGAATGAACTGGTAACACTTGTGTGTGAAATAGAGGCATACTAAATGATCGTCCTCTTACGCACATTTCCACCGACATAAATGATCCTCAGCCATTGACACCATTACATCTAATTAACGGTAGATTGTTAACAACGTTACCTCATACACTCGTTGACAACTCAGACGCAGACTTCGAGATCACCACACCGAGTGAAGCCAATAAACGGGCAAAATATCTACCCGAATTACACCAAAGATTCCATCGCAGATGGTTAACGGAATATATTCTAGCGCTACGAGAACGTCACCAGAATAACAAAAACAATGTGACAAGCAATAGAATTAAAATCGGAGATATCGTGTTAGTCCACAGTGACACTCAAAAACGGTTACTCTGGCCGCTAGCTAAAGTTGAAAAACTACATGTTAGAAATGATGGACTTGTGAGATCGGCGGACATTCGAACGAAAACGGGAAAAACCAGCCGTCCAATATGTAAACTTTATCCGCTTGAACTCGGTGCTGTTGAAAATAATCTGATGACGGGAATGCCGACAACGAAACTAGTGGAAAACAAGTACCACTCGTTTTACAACGTCCTCAACGCAACGCTGCCACTATTGCAAAGTTGAAGATTCAGGACACCTTTCATAATGATTTATGTGACAATTAAGACTTTGAATTTTTACTCGATATATAACGTAGAATGCCATGAACAATTAGCTTAGATTTTTGTTATCGTGATTCGTTAGAAATATTTTCGCTATTTCGTGAACTTTTAGTATGTTGACATACACTTACGAGTGTGTTACCCGACTTAGTATTGTTTACTAGACAAAGTATATTATTTTATCGTTATCTATCGTTATAATTTGTCGATTGTTATTCGTCATCATTTTAATAATTTACACAACGCAATATAAACCCTTACTGTCAAAATTAATTTGTTTACTTTCGGCCGCCCGGCGAATGTCGGGAACAGACATGATGTCCACGTTACGATTACGTAACAACCCAGATAAGTTTAATAGATAGATCAAATACAAGGCTAAACTGCCGCCAGACATCTGGATCATGTTTGACTTTAATTACTACATCCTGTGTACTGTATATTTAATAGCTTATTGTCTTTCTGAATAAACCAGTTGTAAGCATCATATTGTACCAACTATCCCTATACTCGCCCACATAGTTTAAACACCGTCCCTCAACACTCAGTCATATATCCAACATAGATAATTCTCAATAACAAAAGGTGTTGAGGGACGGTGGTTTAAATTAGCTTATACATTAAGCTAACAGTATTTAAGATTTTTACGCTCAGTCATATATCCAACATAGATAATTCTCAATAACAAATAGTTCAATTTGAAATCTGTATAGTAAAGTTTCATATAAAAGCTGCTTTATTTTGAAATATAACGGTTGGGTTTGGTATGAATAAATGACTAGTAAATTATTACTCTAAAATAAAATCTCGAAACTTATTAATCCGATCTATGATTTTATTTCAAATTCGGATTCTACATTAAAATAGCCTACTTTATTTACATAAATATGCAAATTCTGGCTTTAATTTAAATTCATCAAAGTAGAAATAAGTTCAGTGATCTGAATGTGTCTGACAAATTCCGCAATGGGGGAGGGGTCTCCCATTTCTGGCTCAAAGACAATCTGATTAAAATCTAATGTAGTGTACGGGCTTTAATTATTTTGGCTATAAACTTATTTTAATTTAATTTTATTATTATTTTACTTTGATTTCGATTTTGTGTTTTTTTTTAATTCCGCCTTACATACATACATACATACATCTGACCCGATGCCTATGTAACGAGATTTCAACAGACCCACTATCGACTATTTTAGTCAACGAATCACAGACCTTCTTCTATAGCGCACATGATGACGTCACTGGGCAGAGTCAGGTGGCAAACACACTCAAATAAAATGGCCGACTATACCGACGTTAGCGACCGAGAATAACACGGCTTTTCGGTAAGTTTATCATTGTCAAATGCAACGAAAGTCATTTTTATGTTAATATTGTGGCTCGAATGGTTCCAGTTTAGATCGTTATTTTGCGTAGTTATTCTGGGAGTGATGATTTTGTTTCCACCGGTTCGACAGAACACCGGTGTCTTTTTCCAGTCGCTTGCCCTGGAGACGGTAGCTGCGGTTCCGTAGCTCTTTGGTGCGACCTACAATCGAATTTCGCCCTAACAATTTCATTTGAACGTTTTCTTTTTAATTTTGTTGCTGTACGTCGAACATATGGGCCGGCCAGAGTCAGTCACGTAAATAATGCGGTCGGCAACACAGGGCTATGATTCCACAGCTATGAAGACGGGTGATGTTTGTTGACGATTGGGCCAAAATCGTCTACGGTATTGAAGCCGTAGCTGAAAATATTCATCAAAATGTATCAACATTTTGTACATTATACAATAACTTTTTATTAATGTAATTGAGCTGATTTGGACTGGAATAAAATATTTTTTTATTCGGAACACATCATCGCAATTGATCAGGAAATATTTGTTTGCTCCAATTTTCTGCGTCGATGCCGTGGGCCGGTGTTATACAATTTAAAATCAGTTTGCATTGTTTACTTTAGCTGTTTACAGTGTTCTAATCATTACGATTTACTTATTTTTTTGCTTCCATTCTAGATAATTATGCTAAGTGTTTGATGTAAAATTAAAGCGATGACTGAATGAACGAACCTTGGCTGGCGAAGATGTATCTGGAAGTGTACACATTTGTTGGAAGTGAAACAAATATTCAATGTAATGACAACAATTGTAAAATGCTGTGGAATTTCTTTTGTAAATAAAAATATACTAGCAATTTTCTATTAATGGTTTATTCAAGTGGGCAAAATATAATGTACAGAAAGATTGCCCGTAGAGTATCGCTACAATGAAAAGTAAGCAACCGACAGCCTGTATAAAAGGGGGGTTGTGATTGGCTGTTATTTACGCGAGATTTGAACGGAACTTACATAGGTGTCGGGTCAGATGTACGGAATTGAACAAAGTCACAAAATCAAAGTAAAATAATGAAATAAAAAGGCATTAATAAAAAAAGTAATAAAACATTAAAATAAGTTTATAGCCAAAATAATTAAAGCCCGTACACTACATCTGATTTTAATCAGATTGGCTCAAGGACTAATATAAAGGAATACATTCGAAACGATCTAGCCCTACTTTCTAGAGGGTATTTCTTGGCGAGGCGTTTGCGGTGAGATGTGCCCCGTGTATAATATATACTGTCGAAGTGCAGTGTAACGAATAAGAACGGGAACGGGACATGGAGTCTTCGATCGAGCTCTGATGATTAATTAGTTAACCAAAGAGTTTGTTTATCTGAATCAAAGCTGCAGTGTAAACAAATGTGTTTCGCCGAAAGTTCGTTACGATTTGGTTACATGTTCTTTCGGCGGAAGTCTAGATAATTATTAAAGGCAGGCTTATCACCCATCTATCACTAGATGTGTGACATTTCGTCAAATAACAATTTAACAACATTATAATAACAATATTCTCCAGTGTTGAACAAATAGTAGGAATTAATGCATATAAATTCCTCTCCTGCAACAAAGGCAGGGAAATAATTAGATTCTCACAGAAGATTGTTTTTGTTGTGATGCTCAGTCTCTTTAACAGTTGCATTGCCACTTTGTATGATTTGCAGAAAACCTCTCACTGACTCTACTAGTAGAGTGACTGTGTTGACACATATTAGCAAAGCGAGGTTAGAGTGTATAAGGGTTTGGTATTATCTACAGTTTGCGAGAAGCCTTACTCGTGGACGTACTAACACGTCCATGCCTTATCCAACACAATGCTGAAATCAAAATGGAGTTAGTGTGGCCACGAGTAATTACAACAGTCACACTGAAAATGTATGTCAGGTGATTAAACTGAGCAACCTTCGGTGCATGTTGGCTTCAGTACGTACCCTAAAAGTTCATGATCGCTTGTTGATTTTAACGTCTCTTATGATGACCCCAATTGTCAGCCGGACGTGTGTTGTATATGACGGGAATGTAACCTTAATGTTTCTGCATGGTATACATTTATCAACATGTTTTGATAGTTACAGAGTTCATCCACGATGTTTCATTTAAAATAAACACCAAATAAACTATTGATAATGGCCTGGTTACAGTATGTGGAGTAACAAATATAAGACAAATATAAACTTGTTTTTAGTTATTGCAACCCCATGTGACAATTATTCAAAATAAGCTAGACGTTTCGGGCAATGACCCTTCAGTAGAAATGTCATTGTCCATAAATTTGCTTGGGCATTGACAACTGAAAACAAATTTAATCTTCCGCTGTTTGTGAAACTGCTAAGATACGTTATAGTGAAGTACAAAGCACGTTCGACGTAAAGTTTTTAAAAAATCACACTTAACTTCGAAAATTACAAGTTCACAGCCTAAACAACTTTTCGACGTAGTATATTATGTGGGCCAAGAATCACTAGCTTCCTGAAAAAAAAATCACCCCCCCCCCGACAATTACTGTTATATCCCAATAGTTCTATTACTCCCATAACTTTATTTTCAAAATTCAAAATTCGACGAAATGAATCTGATGGAATGTCGTGAACCCCGATTTACCATCTAAATCACAGTCCCTCTATCTATAAACTGCGTCTAAATCTATCCTAATTTGTCGCGATCTTCAAAATGGAACATAAACAAACTTAAATGACAAAACACTATACGGTTGAAAAACTAACTAAAAATATCATAATAATACATTGACAGAAATGTAATTGCATAGATAGTATTGTACTTTTATAAATATGTATTTTGTTGCGGTATTTGTGCATTTAGGAGTTGGGTGGGGTACTTTTATGTGTTTTTTTGAAAAGGATGTACTGAAAATAAATGACAGCAGTGTCTATTTCATTTCACTATGGTCACTGAACTTGTTGTATTTGCAGGGTTCTCTGAGGAGTGTCCAAATACCGTCCTGTCAGTTTCCCGGAATCACACTTTGCTCATGGACCTTAGAAAGAGATCTATGCTTCGCTAATGGACATGGCCCAAATAAACATTCGGCTTATTTACATTAACACATCGTTGCTGATATATTGTCCCTGGAAAGCAGTCAGTCGAAATGCTTTGTTGAAAGGATTGGATTCTAGAATACACATGTATGCAATACTAGTAGTATACTAGTAGTTACCGTATAATACCATGGAGCTGAAATATTTTTTTAGCTCCATGGTATAATATACTATATACGGTATATAGTTGATGGAGGTAACAGACAGACCTCCATGTACAATAGTTATAACAAGTTGTGAGCATGTTGCTAGCAAATCGACAATCGCACGAGCTGACTCTTGAAGGGTAAGATACTATGGCATAAACATACCAAACAATGTACTGTAGAATGCTTTATTTCCGCTTAGAATTTATTTTCGCTGAAGGGATGCTTCAAGTGAAAATAGATTCCAGCGAATATACATTTTTTTCACATATTTGACATTCAACTCATCAAAAATAAATTAAAAATAACAAATTCCATACAAAACACCCAATTCCAGCTAAAAAAAGTATTTACAATATAGTAAAAACTTACCGTATTGGCATCTAACGCCATATCTACCCGGGGGACAGCTTGCACATGGCTGATGGACGTCAGTGGTGCAGGTTTCACAGCGGTCAAACAGCGAGCAACCATCCTTGGCGACAATCTCGTTGTAGTCGAGCGTTTGGAAAGAGCTATCCACGCAGAGACAGGTGATTGGGCCATGTGAAATACCGTACGCAGCATCTACCCGAGGCAAAAGGGCGAACAAGACGAGCGTCGACAAAGATATTGCGTAGATACTGTACCCCATCGTGGTTTCTGCGGGTCTGGTTGTACCTACAGTATAACGGAATCTAAGTACTCTGACTATCTTAGAGGGCGCCGTATATACAATACCTCGACACAATAATCGGATGCACACACAATCTGCCTAAATCAGGCCCGGCGGACTTCCGGTACAAGCAGATGAGGAATTGCACGTGAAGGCGCCTTTCTTTCAACGGAGTTTATTTTGTCTCATTACCGATTACGTCGTGTTGGGAGTAACATCCGGACCACGGCTAGTGAATTTCTTGAACACGTACATCTGCCCCATATCCGGTAGTAATCATCGACGACGCTTCCTTCGTTTTGTTTTGTTTTTCCCGATAGAGGGCTATGGCAAAATGTTTCTATTGTGTCTATTTAGGTTTGGAGTTTTAGGTATAACGAGTACGACATCGTCACCCTATAATCGTCGTTGTCGCGAGAATTGTATATCTACCATAACTACCAAGCTCTCCATTGTTTTAATTCTAGACACTGTCACACACTCAAAGTGTCTTCTAAAACGGATTTAAAATCAACAAAAACTTGTTAGTAAACAAAATATATCCATGTTTTTTTCAACTGTGATATGGAAAACAATAAAACATTGCGATGTACCAAAATGTTTTCAAACTGTATCCTTTTTTTATTTTCTTTATTACGATTGTAGTGTCGTTTTAAAATCAGCCCGCAGTCTCCACGTCTTTTCGCTCTCCTTCATATCTCCTAACTGGGCTACCATCTTTCTGTATGCAATATCTTCTTTTGAAATACCGTTGGGAGTTCTTTGAATTTAGTCTTCCTTCCATATATCGATCACTGATTTTGTTTTCTCGGCATTCCCATTGACTTCTCTCATGGCCATCGTTCACAAAACGTGAACTTCAAACTTTTTACTCACGAAATAGACATAATAATGTGGCAAGAAAAAAAATGCTTCAAAACAATTCATATACTAGTAATACAGGACGTCATGCCAAACGCTGTCAAAAGCCCCCCTAGGTCAATAAAGCATAATTTTATTAGATTTAGACCACTAGTGATATTCAAATTTTTGCGTTCTGAATAAATAAACATCTGTACCATGGAGACTATTTGAATAAATACTCCATATATTTATTCAGAACGCAATCTTGTTCTTGACATGAAAGCGTGAAAATTGCATTTATTACTGGTATGCAGTACACGATATACTAGTACTTCCTACTAAAATTTATCTGTGATCTTATATATTTAGTAAAACCAATAACGGTCTGTTTGAGGGCCGATCTCTTTGACGAATGTTTTTTCGTTCGAACATCGCTATTTTTATAATAATGTGTGCATTGTCGGAATTTCAGTAAACGTGCCGAACATTTGGTGCGTGACGACATCTTTCATTTCGATTTTTACTGTTATCCGCCCTCTGTAGGCATGGGTTCGTAAAAATGCAGCAGGCGATCACTGCCGGGGACAGCAGGGCGTCCGTCAAATCTGGTGAAATGAAGGCAAACTAACGTAGTATTTCTCAAGAGTGTGGCCAATGACGCAGTACTATTATGTTCAGTTTTGTGTATGACGACAGTTACACCGGGTTTATGTGATTCATAAACTAAAAAAAAAATAGTATTAGTTACGCCCAAACTGGTTGTGTTCAAAATATTATAAAATAATGACGTACGTGTTATCAATACATTAGTAGTACACGAGGAGTTGTATTGCTCATTAATAATCCAGTGTCACGTCGAACAATTTGAAGGCAATCTAATATAAAATATGTATATATTTATCCAGGCAATAATATTACCACTTTGTTATTCGAACATCACTAGTGGTCCTACAGCTCCCAATAAACATATATTGAATGCCAGTTTCTTTTCGTGGTAACCCCTGTTTTCAATTTATTGAGCAACATATCAATATACAGGAACAGACAATTGTCAAAATTAGGTTATATGTGAACCCAGTACGTGAATTGAGTATAGACCGCCCATCGATAAGCTGTAGAGAGAAAAAAAAAACAAACAGACAGAAATGTAACATTCGAGCAGTTATCATTGAACATTAAAAACATAATGTTTTTTACAGAAAATGTTGCGAATATTTGACAACTAAACTGTTCGGTATAAGCTCTGTAATGGGTCTCTTCTTATGTCCGGCCAACACATATCTCAGTACAGCTTGGTATCATCGTGAGCTGTTTAGTTATACATCCAATATCTGCTACAAGGACAAGTCACTTCCGTAAGAAACATAACGTAACACGTTTCGCTGGTTGGTACATGCAACCGTGTCTGGCACTCTGTCATTGTTTCAATTACTTCAGTCCATTACTGCATCTAGGAAACATCGATCACCATACATTCTGAACCAACATTTTATTTTGCTTATAGTTCTGAAGTGTATAATAACAATATATACGGCATATCTAGTCAAACTATTCGTAGACAATAATACGATGTTCTTAAAAAAAAAAAAAAAAACACAAATTAAAAATAGTAAACACGTGACGTACCAGATTTCGCAATACTTTGGGTGCGAGCTATTTCATTTCACACATCACCACGTACATGACAATTGGTTATTTCTCTCGGTGTCCATACTTATGTCGACTGAATTGCATGGATGTATTCAGTTAAAAAAGTGATAATGGTTAGACGGCAATGGAATTGAGTAACTGTAGACGTTCTCTACTTCACTCAATGATATTCGCGACGCGATCACGGCCATGCGAAATGTGGTCGTGACTGCAATGGAAAAAGAAGTATAAAAAATAAATTATTGTTACATATTGTCCATTTTATTATCTAATCCCGTTTTTTTTTTTGGCAGCAAATGCCCCAAGTACAGATGGTATCAACTGGCAATTCAAGCACGAACACCATTCTCTGACATTCAGTCTGTTAAGGTCAACACTCCGAATCATCGCCAATACTTTCGCTATGCGTCAAACATTTTCCGCGATCGTCTGCACAATATGTTGGCTCAAACTGGTGGTATGGCGTTAGACATGTCAAATTTGGCTGCTGCTGCTGCTGCTGCTGGAGTTTTCCGCTTTCTCAGAGGAGAGCCTAGACTGGCGCAGTCGG